CATACAGAGAGATATGTATGTTAGATAGCCTGGACCTAGGTCTTATAGGTGATAACAAGCACTTTGAATTGTGTCCAAAACCAACTAGAAGTCAGTGTTTATTGTTTATTTATTAATATTGTCACTGTGCCCCTCCCCAGTTTACACTATACCAGCTGAAGTTTCCAGACCATCTTAGGGAGCAGCTCCATACACAGAAATTTACAGTAATGGGATGTAAATAAGAAATTTATCACATAACCAGATAAGACATCTCAGGGGATGAATGCAGTTAACATAGAAGTTTGAAGTGTGCAAAACACCATTGGTCACCAACTAAGCCTGGACATCCAGGCTCAAAGCAGAACCCATGAGTACACTCAAATTGTAAACCTGTGTCTTCAAGGGGAGTGTATCCTCATCCGGCACAGGCACAATCCCTTATCCTCAATCTGCATTCTGACTGACCAAGACCACCTCTGTTTTGTATAGATCAAACTTCAATTTGTTTGTCTCCATCCAATTCATTACTGAAGGCAGATACTGGTTTAGAATGGAAACAATGTCCTTGGAGTTAGCTGGGAATGATAAATAGAAGGGAGTTATAAGTGTTGATAGCACTGAACCCCAAACATTTGGACAACCAGCTCTTTCTAATAATAATAATAATAATAATAATAATAATCATCATCATCATCATCATCACCATCATCATCATCAAACATGAACCTGTGAAAACTGTGGTCAACAGAGAATACATTCAAAGGGACAGAAAAATTCTCAAAAGTAAGCTCAATGGAGACAATACCATCAAGGCCATAAATACCTGGGCCATACCTGTCATAAGATACACTGCTGGCATCATAAACTGGACACAGGCAGAACTGGACAATTTGGACAGAAAAACAAGAAAAGGCATGACTCTTCATAATTCACTACATCTTTGCAGTGATGTTGACCGAATATATCTGCCTAGAAGGTCTGGTGGCAGAGAACTTTTACAAGTAAAACAAGCAGTTGAAGAAGAAAAACACACCCTGGCAGAATATGTAAAGGAAAGCCAAGGACTTGCTTTAATTGAAGTCAATAATTAGAAACTTCTCAAAGCACAGCAGAGAAAAAACCAGTACAAGAAACCTGCACTACAAACCAGAGCTGACAGCGGGCACAACAAAGCATTGCATGGGTGGTTCCTTGACAAAATTGAAGGAAAAGCTGATAAGGAAAGGTCTGGTTATGGCTCACAAATGGAACACTGAAAAAGGAAACAGAAGGCCTGATTCATGCAGCCCAGGACCAAGCCATCAGAACAAATGCAATAAAGGCCAGGATTGAAAAATCAGCTGATGACCCAAAATGCAGACTGTGTAAGGAAGCTGATGAAACCATTGATCATATCCTCAGCTGCTGCACGAAAATCGCACGGACTGACTACAAACAGAGGCACAGCTCTGTGGCCCAAATGATTCATTGGAACTTATGTCATAAGTGCCACCTGCCAGTAGTAAAGAACAGGTGGGATCACAAACCTGCAAAGGTAGTGGAAAATGAACATGCAAAAATACTGTGGGACTTTCAAATCCAGACTGACAAAGTTTTGGAACACAATGCACTAGACATCACGATTGTGGAAAAGAAAAAAGTTTGGATTATTGATGTCGCCATACCAGGTGACAGCCGCATTGAGGAAAAACAACAGGAAAAACTCAGCCACTATCAAGACATCAAAATCAAACTGCAAAGGCTCTGGCATAAACCTGTACAGATGGTCCCAGTGGTCATTGGCACACTGGGTGCYGTGCCAAAAGATCTCAGYCGGCATTTGGAAACAATAAACATTGACAAAATCACGATCTGTCAACTGCAAAAGGCCACTTTACTTGGATCTGCACGCATCATTTGAAAATACATCACACAGTCCTAGACGCTTGGGAAGTGTTCAACTTGTGATTTTGTGATATGAAATCTAGTGTATATATCTCGTTTGCTGTGACATACTGTGTTTTTGTGTCAGTAAAATAATAATAATAATGATAATAATAATAATGTCTTTCTTACCTGCTGCTCCCTATATATGTTGAATATGATGGGATGCAGAAAAAAAACCTTGGTGGATTACCCATACTAGAAATTGGAGGGGGAAGAACTGGTCAGGAGCCAAGAAATCCCCTATATTCCCATCTACCAGGAAGGAACAGAGTTGATGTAAAACAACATCTGTTCCATCTGAGTCAGGTGGTCCAGAAGCCTACCATAACAGATGATATTGAAAGTTGCTGAGGTACCCAGCAGAGCTAACATATTCTCCCTCTCCAGTTCCTAGTAGGTCATCCACCAAGGCAACCAAATATGTATCTTTGCCCAAACCAGAGCTGAAACTAGATAAAATACAATCTCAGTTTCCACAGTATTAGTACTCATATCTGAAAAAAAATATCTCTATGCATTTTCTAGGCCCTCTATCTATGAACATGGCAGCCATACTATAATTTGTTTTACCCAGGAACTCCTAGAGCTGGAAGGGCACCACATGCTCCAGTACCTTGCCCCAAACTTGAATGTTACACTGACTGAAAACTACCTATTATACAAGGGTAGAGGAAATAAATGTCAACAAAGACCTTCTAATTGCATGCTTTAGGCAAGTTGTAATCTGCTTTGTTGTAAGGAGGCACGGATATCCACCCATTCAACCAGTCCACTTTTGTCCGATTTGATGAACCAAGGAAATGGGATGTAGCACACTTCTTCAAGGATCTTATCCACATCCTTGGACTGCACAAATAAGAAAGAATCCAATATTACTGGACAAGTAGGGACCAAAGTTGCATCCACTGGGGCTGGCTTGTCTATAGTTAGAGAGGATCCAAGTGATTTTATCTGCAAAGTGTGAATACTTGTCATATGCTGTGCATGCTTTTGTCTTATATAGCAATATATAACCTCCCATTTTCCCTTGCCACAGCTAATGGCTACTTAACTCTTTCTCAGTTTGTTTGCTCACTGCTCACTTGCTTTCTTTGTGAGAACTCTCCAGGTGGCATGCCAACAAAGCCTTTTCCAAGCCCACCAAAATTAGGGAGGGAACAAGAAGGGAAAAGGAGAAAAGCACTTTCCTCAGCTCCTTCACCTCCAAACAGAGTTGACAGCCCCTTGACCATTTGGCCTAAAGCCACCACCCTGGTCCAGGGTTACTTGACCATACTGCCAGAGTACAGTCACCCATCATAGGCCTTAACTCATAATATATATCAGCTACTCATGGACAGGCGAGACAGGTTGTAATATTATTATTATTATTTTGCTGATGTCAAAATCTGAATTTCAGGATAAACTTTCCTCTAGTGACCTTTGGCAGGATTAACAGGTTGTGATAAATAATTTTTTAGATTTCCCAGAATGCAAAAGAGGTTAAAAGCACTGTGGAAGGACTTGGTTAGATCTAGTCACATGGTATGACCTGGAGTGTCTGAGTAGTATCCCACTTTTCTTCCATGGGTGGGATTCAAAGCACCATACAAAGATTTTTTTAAAAAACTCACAAATGCATAAAATACATAATTAATAAAAACATCATAAGCCAATTTAAAGGAAATAACCCGATTTGACACCATATACAACACATGAATTACTTGCAACAACTACCATTAAAAATTCCTTAACCTCAGGTTACTGAGGTTATTCATCAAAGAGTTTATACAAGCTCCTAAGAAATTCCATTTTTGTAAGGCTGTGTTGCAGTTGTCAGGTCCAATAAAGCAATCAGAGGTAAATATTATCTGGTGGTGCCTATTATCATTCATCTAGGAAGGTGAATGATAATAGGCTCCACAAAAAGGTTTTATTATGTATCAAATAACAACAAGAATGGGGGAATCACACAACCAGCGCTTTCCAAAACATTCTCATACAAATGGACACAAAAGGGAACTTTATGACACCAGTGGGGTGTATGCACTATATACAAAAATGGAATTTCTTTTAAATTGTTTTAAATTGCTTTTAAATTTTGTTAGATTTTAGCTATTCTTGTAAGCCGCTCCGAGCCCCAGGGGCGTGGCGGCATATAAGTCCAAATAATAAATAAATAAATAAATAAATAAATAAATAAATAAATAAATGAGTCTCAAGCCATCTTGTTGATCGCTGTGGGATATATGGTAGGGTTTTTTTAAAAATGAAAACATATATATGGTTTTCATAAAACATTTAAGCCTATTGATCCATATAGTGAGCATGTTTTTGGGGGGAGTGGAGTACGGTGGGATTTCTGGCCCATTCCTTCAAAATGGCCAGGATTATAAACATAATTTCTCTTTCCTGCTGCATGAGCAGCAATTGAAAAGTTGCATTTCCAAATCTTACACTACCATCTCTAACCATTATACAACACTACTTCCTCTATAATTGTTCTATTGATACGACTCTCAATCTCACTAAGGCCAAGAACTCTTCGTGTGGCCTTGAGGCAAACTGCTTATTTTTTTTTGCCGCCACCCCCCTATAGAAATATAACAACTCATCTGTCCAGCAAAGCTGTTGCATTGTCAACCATGATGATATTTGTACGCTATTCTTATCCTAATAGATACAGAACATATTAATAAGTAATAAATACTGATAGTACAGTCATTGCCATGGTAAAAGAAATATCCAGGAAAAAGCCTCAAGAGCTACAATTTTGTACTTTCAACAAAAACACCTATTGTGCACTTAAAACCTTCTTGTCAAGTATATGAAACATCATCGGTAGGCATTAATGGGCTAAGCAGAAGTGATCTGATTAGAGAGCCATAGAAGAACAAGCCATAGAGATTCAGCAGTCAAGCAAGGACTTCATTTAAAAGGAAACTAATAGTCACAAATGGGTATTTTGATCATTTCTTTTCAAGCACTCATTCCACAACATCGTAATAAGCTGAAATGCATTTAGGCTGTATTAAGGTAACATTTAAAGGTAATTTCAGAGTACTACATTAACAGAACGAACAGTGCAAATATGGAAAAAAATGCTTCCTTACCTTATTCATGTCAAATGTTTCAAAGACTTGCTCAACATATTTATTAGCTTCTTGGTTGAGTCCTTGTAGACCCAACACTGATTTAAATTCATGTAGACAAAGCTGTCCCGATGGACATTCCCTCATAAACTTTGTATACCAGTGGTGGATCTCCATGGCATTAATGTCATCTTGTGACCCAGCGGCACCCATGATGATCAACATTCCAAATATCCTTTTTTAAAAGTATATTTTCATCCAAATGATTGTTCAGTCGAGTGGTAATGGCTTTGCTTGCAAGCACCATTCAGATACCTTGCCATGTAAGAAAGCGCTACCATAAACCTCTTTACAGATCACAGCAGAAACAGGCTATGTATAGCTAGCTTCCTAGCAAGATTACCTCCAGGGAGAGTTTAAATGCAGAAAGGTTTTATCAATGGGTGGCAGTCTATCTTCAGCCAGAAATAAACAGTAAGATGCCTCTGGATGTTAGTTACTGCACCATTTTGGATGACAATCTCGCCCCCCCCCCCCCCCCCCGTAGATGTAGCTTACTTGAATGTTGAATACCTGTGATTTTTGGAATCTGACTCCCTTTAAGATGTGAGACGTTGAGAAGAGGTGTACAGTGCTTTCTCAAGAAAGCTTATCCCTGGATGACCCCCTCCATAAATGCTTACTTTTCCCATTGGCACCACACTAAAATCTTTGTGTTTTCCAGTTTTCAAAAGTTCATAGAATAACCAGTGTGATGTTCTGATGTCAAGAGTTATTTTAAAAGTAATTTTATACTGATTTTATTGCTGTCCTATGGGAATGGAAAAGAAAAATATTTGGGAGAAGGACAACATACAAATGTCTAGGATATTATTTAGTAAGAATAGTGATGTCTTCCATTTTAATTGTACCTATTTGACATGTAGCAACTGGATCACATTAACTACCCCATACAATAATTTTTGGACATAATACGAGATAGCATGACTAACTGCAAAAGGCAATAATGTTAAACAGAAGGAAAAGAAGAGGGCCATATTGCATATGGATAGATTAAATCAAGGAAGCTACAGCCTTGTGTTTGCAAGACCTATGGTTGTTGATGCATGAACTCTTGGAGCATCCTCATTTAAGGGGGTTCCATTAGTTGATAATAAACTGATGGCATGTATTAGAGGCAGAGATGAAGTACTTTGGCCACATAATGAGAAGAAAGGAAAGCATAGAGAAGACAATGATGCTGGAGAAAATGGAAGAATAAAGGAAGAGGGGCCGACCAAGGGCAAGATGGATGGATGGTATCCATGAAGTGATTGGCTCGACCCTGAAGGAGCTGGGGTGGTGACGGCCAACAGGGAGCTTTGACGTGGGCTGGTCCATGAGGTCATGAAGAGTTGGAAGCAATTAAACGAATAAATAACAAGGCTATTCAACAATTTTAGGAACTAGGACACCTGCATCAACTGGGTGGACTTAAGTTCATGAAAGTTTAAGCCACAGCCAAGGAGCCCCTTTTCTCTGACAATCCACAGGAAAAAATATGTTGGGACCACACTGGTTGGAATATCTGTCCTTAAAGGTAACAGGACATACAGCTCCCCTGTTACGTCAGCTCCACTGGTTGCCTGTCTGCTATCGAGCACAATTCAAAATGCTGGCTTTAGCCTATAAAGCCCTAAATGGTTCTGGCCCAGCTTACCCGTCCAAACATCTCTCCCTCTATGAACCACCTTGGAGGTTAAGATTGTCTGAAGAGGCTCTGCTCTCAGTCCCATCTCCTTCGCAAGCGCAACTGGTGGGGACCAGAGACAGGGCTTTTTCAGTGGTGGCCTCTGCTATGGCCTCCCTAGCGAATTCAGAAAGTAAGTAAAAACATGGCTCTGGGACCAAGCCTTTGGCCAGTAATATGATGAAATAAGTGAAGTTGGAATATCTACAAAAACAAATGGCCTTTGATTATGACTTCAGATTGTGTGGTTTTAATAACAGTTTTAATGTTTATAGTTGCTTTTTAAATTATGTTTTTAATGTATTTGTTTATTTTATTATATGTCTGTTGATATGGCATCGAATGACTGCCAATTGTAAGGCTCCTCTGAGTCCTCTTCGGGGTGAGGAGGGCAGGATATAAATACAGTAAATAAATAAATAGCACTTTGCCTTCCTGGTAAATGACCGGAATAAATTTGTTCAATAACAATCGTTTCTTTCTTTTTTAACATCTAGATCAGGGGTGAGCAACTGGCAACACTCTATCACCCAGAAAATAAGTACTCAAGTTTTGAACATGTGTTTAAAAAAATTAAACAGTGTACGAGGATCCTCTGACTTTTTAAAAAGAAACCAGAAATCCACCCTCTTTTTCTAAAATTGAAAGCCAGGAATTCAGAGTGAATGTGAATTTGTGCATGCTGGAGGTCATAAACTCCCGTGGAATCACATTCTGTCCATCTCTGCTTTAATTTCAAATTTAAAGTCTGGGTTGATTTGTGCAAAAATAGGCCATTCAGTGATCAAGGATAGATCAGCTATAATTTCATTTTAACAATTTTTAATTTCAGGAATGATTATACTCTTGTATTCAATAGTATAATTGGTAGAGAAAGTAATAATAAATAGAGCGGTAGAGAAATAATAATTTGTGTCTTAATATTGGGATACACAGGCTGGAACAATCTTGGGCTGACAATAATCTTTATGGTTTGGGATTTCCTTTGTGAAATTTTACTGTTTTTTGTTGTTGTACAAAAATCAGCAAACCCAATGTGTTTATTTTGACATACATCCCAAGATTTTCCTGTGAATATGTCTGCAAAGAAATATAATTTTCTGCACAAAAAAAGACCCCTACACGTTTTTTGCTGAATCAGTCCTAGTTTTTGAACTTTTCCAATTGCACACTGGGAATAAAATTGCTTCCATTAGCTGGTGTATCTCTTGAGAAGGAAATTAATGAAAAATTGCATCCCTATTAACTATCTCAAAAACAAGGTGCTTCCAAATATGACTTTATCCTACAATTCACCCAAACATAGAATTATGAAGAACTTGGAATGCTGTGATCCATGCCACAACTTCCATCTTTTTAGAGTTTCTAAAGAAAAGTCTTCAACCACTACTAACACTTCGGACATCCAATGCTAGGCAAGTCCAGTTGGACAGGAATGATCTTTGGTTTCTATATCAGATTTCTTTCAAAATAGTTTAAAGCTTTTATGCATAATTGATTGAGATTAAATCTTCAATAATTGCACTGAATTTCAATGGAGTTTGTCTGCCTTATAGTATATTTGGAGTAAAAGGCAGGCAATAAACAAATGCTGTTCAAGAAACTGAAAAATACATTATTATCTTCCTCTCTTTTGTGAGATGTGTACAAAGCTAAAGCAGCCAGACTTGGAAATCTGGCATCCCAGTCTCTTCTATACCCCTCTCTGAATAGCATGATGAATGCAGAACCTCAATCCATGGCTGATACAAGATGAGAAACTCCCTCTTGGGCACACAGAAGCCTGGCCGACTTGGAAAGTGCTGGCCAGACTGCACTCCGGGAATACAAGATACAGAGCTAACCTTATGAAAAGGGGCCATAAAGTGGAGTCCATGACATGGGAGTGCGGAGAAGAGCAAAACACAGACTACTAACTACAATGTAGCCTGAGCCCTGCCACATGCACAATGGAGGACCTTCTCACAGTGACACCAGAGTCGCTCCAAGTTGCCAGCTTCTGGTCAAAGAAAATCTGGTATAATGCCAACTTTTGAACTTTGTTTTAAAAATACATTATAACTGTACTATTTTTGATGACTACAGCAGCAAGGATATGTTACTCAAAAATCTGGAAAAAAGAATACCTGAAGAAGATGAGTGGATGACAAAGATATTAGAGATCAGAAATATTGATAGACTTACTTTCCTTATGTCCAAGAATAAGGGTTTAAAAATGAAAGAAACAGATTGGAGACAAGTAACTGAATACTTCAAGCAAACAAACAGGATTTTAATCCGATAGAGAAGAAAATGGTCATATGAAAATAAAAAATTGAAGAAGGGAGGGAGAAAGAAGATGAAAAGAAGAATAATAAAAAAAGGAAAAGGGAAAAACCTCAGGAAGTTACCAGGAAGTCAAAAATCTTCAATTCAACATCAAATCTTCACAACTGTTTTATTTATTTTTCTCTTCCTTTTTATTTTTCTTATATATTTCCTTGAGTTTTAATTATAAATTTTCAATTAAGATTATTTTAAATATATAAATTATAACTGTACCCTCAATTCGCTTCTGACACGATAAATAAATAGCACGATGAACTGAATGTGTAGTATGTCCCAATATTATTTTCACATGACAGAAAATATAGTTGCTTTTTACATTTCAGTAGATCTTCAGCACACATGAAATGGAGTGTAGTGAACAATCCTAATTGAAGCATCAAGCAGAATTCGTCCTTGCATTTTCCTCTAGGCAGTCATTTTAAGAAAAAGGGAAGGTGCCTTTCTTTTGACTCTGACCTCCAAATCCTTTTGAAACAGCCCTCCATCATGCATGCTAAGCCTATAAATGCGATTTAACCGCTGAATATCCTCAAGAACCGTGGAAGTAAACCAGTGAAAGAAACAGCAGGAGGGATTTCATTTGGATATCATTGAGAATGTGAGTTTCAACCAGAACTGGCTGGTATTTATGCAACACATTCCATTTTGATGATTTCCAATTTAAAACCAATCCATTGATAATGTAGTTCTGAAAGAAAAGAATAAAATTCTTGGTTTATGCACACGTGGAGAACATTTTAGGACTTCAAAAGAAATGGTCGATTTCAGAAGCGTTTCCAGTTCAAGCCCATTGATATTACAAGGTGTAGAGAAGTGTTCATTATACTGTGTTTCAAATTGTGTTTAGGCTTTACATTGTGGCCAGGGCCTAGCTGAGAGAGAGATAGGTTGCCATGGTGACAAGCCAGAGGAGGTGGGCGGAGCTTAGGTAAAAAAGGTTTGAAAGCGACAGTTTATTTTCAGTCAGGCGGATGAGACCCTGAGGAGAGTAGCAGAGTCAAGGAGGCTCTGTGGAGTAGTGTAAATTCAGTTAGTTCTTAGGTTTTGTGAATATTATTCCAGCTAGGAAGCTGAAGGTGGAAACTCGTTAGATTGCTTGAGTAGAAAAGAATCTAACAAGAAAGGGTTTCAGGGATCCCAGTGGTGAAAATCTGGAGATCGTTGGTTTGATCCGGTGAAGGACAAACAGTTGTAAATATTCACAATAGGGAACACTGAAATAATAAAGTACCTCACTGTAGAAAGAGTTAAAGGATTGTAACATCGGAAGACTTAATGTAACTCAACCAAGCCATTTTGTATCCATCAAGCTTGTGCCAA